TAATAGCAGCAAAACTAGTCTAAGGTAGACTAGTTCAACTAGACCCGAACAACGACGCTCTAACACACACGCACACACACACACAGGCACACACACGCACACACAAACAAACTTGAGGTAAAACGAAAGCCTTGAAACTTTTAAAATCTTTATTTGGTCCCAATATTCCTACCTGTGACGTCACGCCTCTGGTGGTCCCTGTTGCCGAGGACTCGTGCGCATTGTGGCACCCACGTGAGGACACTTTGGGCGCCCATCGACTGCGCTATTACATTTACGCGGGACTTTTTTCCGCTTTCCTCGTCGGTCGCAGAGAGTGGGCCGGCGGGCGCGGGCGCCTGCAGCGAGCTGGGTAGGCCAGCCCGCCATGCAGCCGTGTGGAGCCAGCGGCCCGCCTAGCGCCCTGAGCGGCCCCCGTCCTGGACTACGGCTCGCTCTCTCCTAATGAGCGCGCTTTCCAGAGGCAAACACGCAGATATGAGCTTTCCTTTCCCGTTTCAGACTGACCACGACAGGTGGCCTGCGCGGTCCGTCAGAAACAAGGAAAAAAAAACCAACTCATCTCTGCAAACAAGAAAACAGAAAGACCGGGAGTTGGAGTGTTGAGGCAGCAGTTATTAGCGAAATTGCTGTTCAGTTCTCAATTCAACAGGCTGCGCGCCGGCCGAGCCAAATGAGATGCACAATAGACTGAGTGATGCATATTGGATTGCGTATTGGATTAGGCCTCCAGCAGCCGCTCTGCGCCCCGCTGCGCCGCGCCCGGGCGATAGCTAGCATAGGCCGTTTGTAGATGCAAGCAAAGAGGCGAGGCATGGGGCGCGGTAGCTCGGGCTTTCTGGGTGTTTGTGGGGCTCCTGCAGGGTCGCTGCTTCCAAAGAGAAACAGCCCCGCCGTCGCCAGCAACTTGGGAGCAGGGAGGAGGAGGAGGAGGAGGGGGAGGAGGAGGGGGAGAGGGAAGGAAGACGCGAGGACGTAGACGAGAACTAGGAGAGAGGTGGTGGAGCCGCAGTCGCGCGTGGCAGCAGCGCTCTGCACAATCACTGCAATTCCCTTGAGAGGGCCGCTGCCCGGCGGCCTGAAGCTGCAGCCTGCACAGGCAGATATCATTCAGTTCTCAACCAGGCAGGATGGGGAGGAAGGGAGAAAAGTTGGGGGGGGGGGAAGGGGGGAGAGAGCTGCATCGCAACAGCCGCAAGTCGCCATGGCAGCGAGGGCTGAATACTTGGCTGTTCCTGGTTGCTGCGGGGTGGGCACGTTTGGACCATTTGGACTCTCAGCCCTATTTAAACCACCAAAGCGCCCGACCTACCTCGCGAAGGGCCTCAGCAGCTAGCAAGGGGCTGCCTGCCATGGCAGCGAGTGCTGGCTACTGCAGGCAGGCTGGGTGTGCCTTTGGACATCCAGCATCATTTCAACCACCAAAGTGCCCGACCTACCTTGAAAAGGGCCTCAGCAGGGTCTGCCTACCATGGCAGCTAGTGACGCCATGAAGCGTGGCGTGGCGGGGCGGGGCGGCCCAACCCCACGTCGGTTGCGCCCTACTGCCGCCCCGCTCCAGCCAGTGGGTTGGGTAAGGGGCCACCAGTTGACGAGACGGAGGCCAGGCACACGGCGCACGCACGGGTGCTTGCATCCCCCCCCCCCGCCCCACGGCCGCCCCCGGCCGCCCCCGTGCGCCAGCTAGCGTGGCGCGCCAGCCCGCGCCGCTGCCGCCGCTGCCGCCCTGTCAGTCGTGCTCCGGACGCCGTCGCCACGTGACCCCACCTCTGCGAGACACCTGGAGCCCTGTGCCTGCGCCTGCGCCGCCCCCTCTCTCGTTCGCGAGCTTGCCCCCGCTCTCCCTCTCCCTCGCACCCGCTGCGCGGGGCGGGGGCCCCTGGTCGGTCACGTGCCCGCCGGGAGGATCCTCCCGTCCGAGTCCGGATCCCCCGCCCGTGCCACACCGAGGTCGCCGTCATGAGCGGCAAGACCACGCCCGTCGACGCGATCCCCGAGGCCACGAGCACGCCGACCGTTGCCGCCGTGGTCACGCCCCCTGCCACCGTGGTCGCGCACCCTGCCACCGTGGTCGCGCCCCCAGCCCCCGTGGTCGCACCCCCTGCCGTCGTCGTCCCCGTGAATCGACGGCGCAGCTCTGTGTCGGCGGAGCAGCTGTCTGACCTGAGCGCGGAGCAGGCGGCCCCCAGGAACAACGGGGCCATCCCGAAGGTGCACCGCCGCGGCTCCGCCAGCCAGCGCCGCAGGTCGTCTGTCGTGGACGACGTCGCGGCTGCGGCTGACGACGACGACGTGCCCAACACGTCCTCGTCGACGTCCAGGGTTAACGGGCGGCGTTGGGTTGAGTACGAGATGCCGACCTCGGCGTCCACGCCGCGCGTCAACGGATACTACCCCATGACTGGGCGCGCCCCCAGCCTGGCTCCTAGCACCCTGGAGCAGCTGCGGCTATCACCGTGCTCCACGACGTCCACCACCCCCACAAGGCCCACGTCCTTCCCCCGACTCACGCCCGGCACCTCGCCGTCACCGTCACCCGCGCTGTCCACCGACGCCATCCTCGTAGACGAGGAGGCCGCCTTGGTCGCCGTCGAGCCCGCCGACGACGCCCTCCTTAAGCCGCCGGGGCCGTCCCCAGCCGCCTCAGGGTTCTCCGTGTCGCCGTCCTCAACGTGCACGCGGCGTGGCAGCCGCGGCCGCCGGCGCTCCTCGCAGCCCGGGGGGGACCGGGACCAGGGCGACCGCCTGCTCGGCGCCTTCGGCATGCCATTCCTGTTCCCCGGCGCGGCCATCCCCATGCGCCAGGAGATGGAGGAGCAGCAGGCCCGTCTTAGCGAGGTGAGTTTCAACCCGACAGTCTCCACACTCAGGCACCGACAATTTGCTAAATTAATAAAAAGGGAAACAAAGCTCTCGGGGCCTTTTGGGGATCAACTTTCCGGAAAAGAAAGTAATCTACTTGGACTCGGACTCTTTTATGACCGTTCCTCGCCCAAATGCAATATTAGAAGAAGACGAAGACGACGAAGAAGAAGAAGAAGAAGAAGAAGAAGAAGAAGAAGAAGAAGAAGAAGAAGAAGAAGAAGAAGAAGAAGAAGAAGAAGAAGAAGAAAGGGGAGGAGAAGGAGGAGGAGGAAGAAGGCGGAGGAAGAAGGAGGAAAAGAGGTGTTTCCTAGAACAGGGAGTCCTAGAGACCTCGTACTTTCTGTAATTATGGTTATATTCAGGCGTACTCTTTCAATTATGGTTACATTCAGGCGTGTACTCTTTAATTGGGGATATATTCAGGCGAACTTTGTCCTTCAGATGCATCAACTGTGGCCGAAGCTTATAGACGTCGCAGAATCCCATCATGGTATATATTTAGCTCATTCAGATGCTGCTATTGCTGCTCCGCTGCCCATAGAGCTGCCCAGCCCGTGCTTGGTCTTCCTGGACGCAGGAGGGTGACCGGAGGACAGCAGAGCTTCCGGTCCAGCCGTCCTCAATATCATATAGCTTTTGTCTGCTGACTCAAAACATCGAAGTATTGGTGGCTGTTGGTGTACTCCCGAAGACCGAAGCACGCGCTTTTCACCGGCGTAGCCCGACACCAGCCACGAGCGCCGCAATCAGCGATCTCCTATTCCGAGTCACGACCGGCTCGCCAGCCCCTCGCGACACCAGCGCGCCCGGCCCGGCCCGGCCACACGACAAACTAATTGGCCAACCCTAAAGCGAAAAAATAATAAAAATAAAGCGAGCGATGTAACGATATTCATGCTGTGGCTTACTTTGTGATCCGTGGGGCTGGGCTGACCTTGCTGAAATTGAAAGCGCGCGGGGCGGAGCAGCAGGAGCAGCAGGAGCAGCGGCAGCAGCACCGTACTGAGGGGCGTGCGACGAGGTCAGGTGACCTCAAGGTCAAGGACGGAGTTGGAGGAGGAGGGGGGGGGGGTCGAGAGTGTCGAGAGCGCAATCACCAGGATGAGGAAGCAAAGGAAAGGAAGGGGAGGTTGTCAACTTCCAGAATGGGGTGTGAGGGACACCACCGCACCACCATGTTTGCTTGTCTCTGCGACGATTTTCCGTCGGATTGTACTCACTAAATTCTTGAGTACTGTACTACATTTGTGCTCAGTTATGCTTAGTTATGAACTTCTGTGTGCGTGCTCTTCTTGCGCATACTTTTTTTTTCATAATTGAATTGCACACTGTTAAAACCTTACGAAGAACAGTGCCAAATCCTTCGTAGGTACGAAGGATGCGGCATTTTGCTTCGTACGGTTTTAACAGTGCAGATAAAACAGTCAAATTGTTCACTGTCCAGGATCTTTTAGACTCATTTAGACTGTTTTAGACTAATCAACTCGGTATGTCCTTGTCTCCAATAATTCTTGCGGTAAGTGTTGTAGTTGCCGGAGAGCGGGCCACCGCAGACCACCTGCAGCCTGGCCGAGCCTGGCTATGCTCCGACTCCTGTTGTACTAGCCAGGACCCCTGTGGTCTGAGAGCTCGCGCGTAGCGGGTTCACATACCTAATGCGCCCCCAAATGAATGGCACAAATCGTGTAGATGTGTACCGTTATTCCACACCAATAACGCAGCGTGGGGTTCCGGGTCCCCAAGCCGAATCGTTGTACACTTTCTGGAGCCCTGAGCCCTACTCGCCCCCCACAATCATGAAAAACCGCGAGAAATCGTGAAATATCGCGCAAAAACTCTCATAACATTGCGCTAACTCGCTTCAACTCGTTGAACACTTATTTTGGGAGTGTGTGGGGGATCCCTTCAACCGCAGTCCATCACCTTGTTCTATTGTACCCTGCTCCCAAGCATCGGCGCATCGACTCATCGGTTACTTGCACGCGATAAGTGTGTGAGTGTGTGAGTGTGTGTGTGTGTGTGTGTGTGTGTGTGCGTGTGCGTGTGCGCACCCCCTCTTCACCCCCGCGAGCAGCAGCCCCGCCGCTGTTCAGGTGCGGAGCCTCTATAATTTACCGCGCGCCCCGCCCGCGCTGCTGCTGCTCCTCGCTACAATTAGGGAGAAGGGCGAGGAGCAGCAGGGCCTTTTCCGCTTTCCTCGCCTGGCCAGCACTTTGCACTACATTTTCCCGATGGCTCCCGTCGGGCTGCCCAGCGGCGGCACCGGTACGGCCGCACCCTCAGGAGGGTCATTAGGGAGAGCCCGCAACTTTTTTTTCCGGCTTCCGCAGTCACGATCTTCAATGCAGCCCTTAAAAGTGGGTTTTCTGCCCCAAAAAAGGAAAGAAAAAAACAAAACTCGGTCCGGTTCGTAGGGGCTGCTACCGACTGCTTCGGATTTGAGGCGAGGACGAATCACAACACCTATTTACCACGAGTTGTGCGAATCGAGGTTTTTGCCTTCGAATCGACTCTTATCTCAAAATTTTTCTTTAAATTGGACCAAACCGAACAGGCCAAAAATAAATAAATAATCGAATCGGAAAAGCAAAGTATAGACTCTTCTCTCGATGTAGACGGAGTTATCACAATTATTCCGGATACATTCAGTTCAAAGTAAGGAATTCTCATGGTAGACTAGTTCCTGTAGGGTCGCCGTGACTTGCCGACCTTGACGAGCCGGATCTGGACAACGAGCCCCTTCGGCCACCCGCCGCCCCCAATCTGCATTTAACTAAACCGGAGGCCCTTTGAAGTCTGGCCGCGGCGGCGGCGGCAAAGTTTTGCCCGGCGTGTTGTTGGTGTTGAATTGCAGATTATACGATACACAATCAATGGTCGGGGGTCGAGAGGGGAGGGGGCGGGGAGGGGGGGGGGGTGGCTGTTGACGTGTTGACACCGACACCGAGGGGCGTGCGGTGCGGTGGTGACTCCCCTCCTCCTCCTCTCTGTGGGGCGCGAGAGAGAGAGAGAGAGACACGTGGGATGTTGCAGTATGGACCGGTGGTGGAGCTCTCCCGCCCGCCCTTTTGAAATATTCAAGTAGTAAGGCGAGACGGGTAGACCCGCCGCCCGTGAGGGGCGCCGCCGCCCGCCTCCACGCGCCACGCGCCACGTGTTTGAGGTCGGGAAGGGGGAAAAAAGGGGGCGGCAGAGGAGATCTCACGAGAGGCTCAAGCGGGGGAGGAGGAGAAGGGGGAGGGGAGGGTAAGTCTTGTCGGCTCTTCGGGCCTACGTCTGGATTTGGCTTTTTTTGTTCGCGCGGCCGGCAAATCCGGGCACGTGTGGTGTGCCTCTGCAGCCAGAGGTCGGGGCGGCCCCCCCCCCCCCTCCCACTTTCCCCCATCCAGCTGACCAATGCCGACGCGGCTGCCCGGTTGCCGGGCCGCACTCTCACGGCCTCGTCCTGTCTACACTTGTAAGCCATGCGGGACAAGGGCAGCCCTGTGTCATGGAAAAACAAACACGACATGTTTATGTATTTATTTATTTATTTTTGTGCACACACACACACCTACACATCAGAGCTCTGCAAAATGGCCCCCCGCCAGGCCACTCGGCAGATGAGTCCTCTTTTCCGTGGGTCGGGGGCCGTCTGGCCAGGTGAGCTGGGGTGAGGAACGGCGACAGAGCGGGGGACCTCTCCAGCTCTCTCCTCCGCACCTTTCACCTATCAGGCGGCCTGCGCGTGGCCAGGCGGCCTGGCGAGGTCGATCTCTGAAGGAGATTTCGCAGAACTCTGACACGCTATACCACCGCCGCTCCTGTTCTACTCAGAACCCCCCTTTTAAAAGGATGTTAATAAACACCCTCCCCACGTGTTATACAGCAACACTGTTCAGAAAGTGGTAGCGCATTCCTCTATTTCAGAAGAGTACGATGTGTTAGACACGTTCACTTTGCCAAAAATGTCCAGATTTTGAGAGGGGCTACTTCCTAATGTGTTCTACTTCCAAAATGATGAACAAAAATATTTTTGTCCGATTTTTCGGACCCCTAGGTCTTCAACACGTGGCTATTTTCTATTAATAAGCCCCTAAATCGAAAACGGGGTATCCGGAATATAAATTCCGAGGGTTCGCTGGAAAGGTAAGACCTTCTAGAATATGGATTTGAGGAAACATTTCCGACATCTTGCATACTGCTCTATCCAAAAAAATGCCAAACTTGCGTTTTGGGGCGCTCCGAAAACGGACAATTTTTATACTTTGCGAGAATGTGGGGCTCTCAACGGCAGGTGAACGCACAACTTTCAGGTTGACATATGTGAAACTAGGACTCTTCACCTACAAGATGACACAAGAAAATTTCGTTTGTCACTTGTGTCAAGTTTGAGAAACGATTTCCGAAAGCCCCTAAACCGCCCTAAATACGGACATCGGCTTTTACATGCAGAAAGTGACAGCTGTCCGTATTTAAGACACTTTGAAAGCGATCTTTAAGCAGTTTTGGCGGCTAAACTATACTAGATAAGAAAATTTCACCGGTGGGGTAAGGTCAAACTTTTTCATAAGTTTCCATTCCTGTCAACAAATTTTCACTTTTCATAATTTTTGAAAGCTAACTATTTAGGGTGCTTTGGTTCTTAAAAAAAACCTCACTTCAACAGGGCCTCACAGGCCCACCGAAAGGTGATAAAATATCGTTCAAGGTGTTGTAGGTGTGTCTCGGTCGGAAGATTTTATAATCCCCAATCCCACTGCTTTTCAAGTTTATCAAAACTACAGATTTTATAGGCTATTGCGTCTAAAAATCGTCCGTATTTAAGGAACTTGACCGTGTTTATTGTACCCAGTGAGCGGGCGAGCCCCTGCCAGCGGCGGGGTAGGCACACCGCTCAGCACGCATGCACAACGGCTCTGGTTGTTGCCTGCCTACCCGGCGCTTACAGACACCCTGTTGCGTCCTTGCGTGCATTGTGCGGAAGAGAGGGA